TCTAAAATAAGATACAGTACTGTGAATATCGTGTTTAATGGACGCGCAGCAGCGCCTCTTAAGAGAAAGAAGACTCAGGAGTCCTGTTTGCATCAGAAGGTTTCAGTTTGCGTAAATTTCACTTTTGTTAATATAGAGACTGTCCGTGAGCTACAGGCATATTATCTGCCATGATAAAATATTACAGAAAAAAGATATGTTCATGTTATTACGCCCATACTTAGCGAATACCCTGTATTCCTCAACCAAATTGGAAAAGAAAACACGCAAGTTTACATCTTTGGATCAAGTTGCGGAGATAGACTTGAGAAAGCAAAATCAAGCTTGACCCCTCGCTGCTCCTGTTTCATATTCGCTTGGCATCCCAAAATGAATGAGGGAATAATTTTGGGCACCCTATAAGCGATGATTATGTATGACAGTTGTTATGTAAATATACTATTCATAAACTACAGGGCGTTTTTTGTTCAAGGTCAATGACAAGGCAAATTAGATGCTGTGGGGAGAGGGAAGGGAGGGTAAGATAGACAAATTTGCAAACTGCAAATTTAGGTTACAATTTATCTTCCAAACTTTGTTCCGAATATCACTGCTGTCGCAACACCTTATACTTATAGCTCCGCCAAATAAGTTTATCAATCTGCTCAGCTTATCTATATATTTTTCATGTATTATCTGTGTACTACTATGAGCCTAATTACAGACTGCATTGACAAGCTCTGCTGTACAAATATTTTCCACCAGTTGGAAGGTAGAACTATGCACAACATCTGAGTAATCATGTACAACAAGGTTGAGTTGCTGCACTCATTTGTACATCCTGTCATTCCTCATCCCACTATTTTTACTTGATTCTTCAAAGTTAGACATTTTTTATAAACAAAAGCATAAATAGGCTACTTTATGAAACCCTACTTCCTTGAAATACCAAAATGTGTTAGAGAATCAGTTAAACTTTTGAAGTTTGATTGATCTCCGCTCCTTTTTGTCGAATTCTACTAAAGTTTGCTAATTACTTCGTTGGTGTGAGATGCAAAACATTAAAACACCCCGCTGTGAAGACCCATGCCAAACTGGTTGATATTTTCCCATACTTAATCCTTGTAACAATCATAAACACCCAATTGCCCCATCGACCTCACCTCACCACGTTGTCATAATTGCCTTGTATGATTGTACAGTTTAATCCGCGCAGTAAAAAACATAGTCCAATTAGATGTAATATGCAAACTTTCCACGTCTTTCCCAATTCCTGTCTCTTTTCACTCATTCCTCCTATCAGTTGGCTAGCGACCTTCACGCACCCAAGTCTGCAACTTCATAGTGTATTTACCTCTATCATAACTTTTTCGTTTATAAGCCCAAACATCGAGTTAATTTGCCACTGCAAACAATAAAGCTCATCAAATTTTAGGAGAGACTTATAATAACTTAAAGGCAGCGTCCCACCAGACTGGGGGTATCTGGCTCTCGTAATGATGTGATAGTAGACCCCCTACCTAAGCGATGACTGAAGTTCGGAGCGAAAAAGGGGGTCTACCAAGCCTGAAATTTGCTCCGAAAGTAGGCCGAATCTTACGGTAGGGCCGAACGCCGCCCACACGGCAATATCGATTTGCAGGGCCAGAGTGCGTATGGCGCACACATCATGAGTGCAGGGACCCGCAGCAACTCTGCGTCTCTACCTTGCGTGCACCTCGCACTCGCCCGATCCTACCGTAAGATTCGGCCCACTTTCGGAGCAAATTTCAGGCTTGGTAGACCCCCTTTTTCGCTCCGAACTTCAGTCATCGCGTAGGTAGGGGGTCTACTATTACATCATTACGAGAGCCAGGTACCCCCAGTCTGGTGGGACGCTGCCTTTAACACGTTTCGGACCGATGCTGCACATGGTTCAGCGCACTGCTTTGAAGGAACTCTTTGACGTTTGCTTTTTTAAGTCAGATGTTATCAAGTCAAAGGCCAAAGTCCTACTTTTCATATAACTGGAGCAGTGCCCCGATATTTGTTCAGGAGATATAAGGACAAATCGAACAACAGCTGCAACAAAGTGCGGCAACGCAAACGACGCGTGCGACGTCTCGACTTTTCTTTGCTTCGATTTCAAAGAAAAAACCATAGTCTCAATAATGATGGCCGTTTGCAACATAGATACTTCTGGATTGTACCAGAAGTTGAGTTCTTTAACAACACAAAAGTCCTTGTTAAGCGAAAAACTCAAAAACTCACTTCGAATTCATCCAGAACTTTGGCTGTTTACAGATGTAGCACACAGTCTACGAAATAAAGTTCTTTCGTTGGCTAATGGTTAAAAGTACACTTTTTTTCGCCGCGCGCGATTTTGCGGTCCGAAATGTGTTATTAGAGTCTGTTCCACAGTTTACATATGAAACAATCGAGTCATCTATTCAAATATAATAGCGTCTCATACTGAGCTATGCATACAAATCATTCCCTTTTCCATATGGGTGGCACGCATTTTGCTTCTGCTCGCCAATGGAGAACTTTGCTTTAGATCGTGCTAGTCTTGCTTGCCATCTTCATCAAATTATTTCGGGTTCTTTACCATGTATAGTTAGGTGAATTTATCAGTTGGTGTAGTGCCCCTATGATGCGCAAAGCACTTGCGTTAAAATTTGCTGCTACTCTGCGTAAGTGGGATGAGTGTTGATAATACATTTCAAGTTATTGGTCCTGAACAAATTGGTTTCCAAATTTTATCGCTATCAGTTTCTCCAAGTACTGTACATAGAAAACGTCCGTTCCATTAGCCTGTGGGATCTCACATTTTCCAAGGGAAAATGCTCAGCAATCTGATTGTAAAACGGATATACGTCGCGAGCGTTCATGAGAACAATGGTTGATGCAAAACACATTTTCCAGAAGCCAAGTCAATCCTTTGAGCGAAGTTTTCGAAACTAACGTTTACGCCCTTTTTCTTTCAGTATATTCGCATGAAGGAAGTTTTCAAGTGCCCTATCTTTACCGTGTAAGCAGGCATATTTGCTCTGGATCCGAATACGCTAAAAGATTCGGCATTGAATTAGCGAGCGAAGCCTTAGACGCCCCTACCCTCAAATTTTAGCCTGCTGAGAATTGGATGCGTCAAGGGTAGCGAGAGCCTCAAGCGGGTATTTGTGCCAAAGCTCCCCTGCAAAAGGCGTATCTCAAAGCAAAAAGTAGCTGAGAAGAAGAAAAATGTAGTCGCCCCTCCCAACGTAGGTGATAAAAGACCACAATTTAAGAGACAGACCCCTTAGCCCGAGACTTTGATCAGAAGCGCTCAGAAGCATCCTAAAGCTCTTAAAAACGCCCAAAGACGCCAAAAAGCGTTATAATACCATTATCGCGACGCACCTTTTTGAAAACTTCAGTCAACACTGCAACCAACTACAAGCGGAATAAGGACCCTGTGTCTTGTTGAATGACATCAGACAAAGGTCAATCAACTTATATGTGATCTTACAAGCAAGGTATCTAGAGGCAGTAGATCGGCAGAGTGAGACCCGTGACAAAACAAGGTCACAGGGTAGGAGCCCCCATATGGAACCTATCGGCCAAAGTCCGATCTTTCTCTGCCACTTCTAACTCCCGAAAGTTCAACGCGGAAGCAGCGCTCATCTCTTGTACTCTCTGGCCCCGCCCACCATGGGATGGGACTTTGACCGATAGGCTCCATATGGGGGCTCTTACCCTGTGACCTTGTTTTGTCACGGGTCTCATTCTGCCGATCTACTGCCTTTAAGGTGGCCCCTTTTCAAATAAGTCCCTTACCGCTTAAAAGAGCATTGAACGCTGATTTCAAATCTGTTTTCATTATCTGCCGAGCGCTGCAGACGTTAAATCAACTGTTATGGTTTCGAGCGTAAATAGAGCAGTATCGAGCATGAGTGTATGTTACCCCTTGAATGAAATGCTCTAAAACTAACAGTGGACCTTTTGAGCAATTCTGGACAAATTTTGTTCTAGTTGCGCATTCAATTATTTCAATCTCAGAAACGATCATAACTTGGCGTCCAAAAGCATTTGACAGCTAACAAAAACAGATTTGAAATCACCCTTTATAGCTCTTCAAAGTAGTATAGGGAGTCACATAAAAAGGCCCTTTCGACTAAATGGACCTTGTAAGCAAAGCATTCAAGTTTGCTAGGTTGCAAGGTCTTCAAGTGCAGGCAACGATTATGAGCGATGCACCAAAGTAATATGTATGGGTGGTTAGCAGTTGAAATATTGAAGTCTAACTCAAAAAATAAATGATGTGCAAGCAATAAGCGTTGGGTGACGTTTAAATAGCAAGAAAGGTCCTACGTTGAAGCTTAAACCGACCGTGAAACATGTATCATGATAAATGTGATTTAACATAGTTATTTTCTTCTGAACATGCTTTCAAAACTGAAGGTCCAACGCTAAAGGCTTCTGGCGCTTTCTGGCGCTCCTAAGCGCTCTCAAGTGGTTTTGAACGCTCTTGGGTGCTTTTCAGAAACGGAGGCCCTAGATATGGAGAACTGTCGTCCACAGTGAAGGGCGGAGCTCTCAGGTCAATCTTTGATGCTGATTTAGTTCAGGGCCCCAATAAGTTACAGTTAAAACTCCTCAAAATGTTGATCGCAGCTAAAATATAAAGCAGATAAAGAAATACACTCTTCGGTTTTCTTCCCTGTGTCAAAGCTACTTGCTTTGCCTCTCTTGCGAGTTTGCTAGAAACTCTAAGTTCGCCAACATTACCTTTGGTTCATGTTCCATAACATGAAGGACAATGGTCGATGTGCAGTACCTCCTAGTTTCCTTATCTCGAAGTTGGGACACATGTTCGCTCAAGGCTTCTGTGTGATTTGATTCAGTTATCATTTCAGTGTGCATTTAAAGACGTTTTTGATGATTGCCGCAGGACCTCCCCCCTCCCTCCCCAACAAAATTTTGATCAATTTAGAATAAAGGCAACGAGGGACAACACAGCCTCCAGGGCAGCTTCGACGAACTGTAGTTTACAACTCTTAGATATGTCATTATTCTGGAAATGCGCTATTGCATTTGTAATCTTTTTCCAAGGCATTCTTATCTTGCGATACTATAATTGGCGGATATTCAATGTAAAAACTGCACCAAAGAAATTCGTCGGCTTTCACTTGAATTTTGGTCGACTTGGAAATCAGGTAAGATGAAGAAACAAAAAAATCAGGTGTTTGCAAATATGAAATCTCGAAGCAACTACTCCACCACTTTGCTGTTTTGTTACCGCCTATAGGCGAAATGAAAAAACGAAGGAAATCGGAGATAGAATTAAAAGTTGCAAAGATACTCACAATCAGACATAATATGCCGCAAAAGCGAGGCCGGCCTAATAAAAGCTAGAACCTGCGAATTGCGCAGTGGATCTGCGGCGCTGTTTGGCTATTTGAGGCTACAGAATTTCGAATTTATGGAACTTCTCTACCTCCTTTCACAAGCAACCCGCATAAGATCATCTCGTGGGATTTAGGTTGTGAATACATTGTAGGGGTTTTAAATACAGCTGCGACTTTTGCGGAATTACGGTATGTGTGTGATGTAAGTCGCTTCAGCTAAGTAAGGCGTTACATTGAGCATTCTGATTTTGTATGATAATGGTACTTCTAATCACCTCATACACAGTGCTGGCCAAAATTTGCGGGCACTCCGAAATTTTGCTATATATTCTGTTTCGCATAGAAAATCAAGACTTGATATTATGTGCAAGCACACCGCTTGACACTATTAGGTTGTCCGGAAATTAATGCAGGTTTCTGCAAATGCAATTTCAATAGGACCATTTCTTCTGTGTATTTGCATCTTTCGACTAATTTCGCATACTAAAAGAAGCCGCTCTTGATGCTCTCTCTTATATGTGCTACTTCTACGACCAACTTCATTTGTTCAAAATCTACAACTATCCGAAGATGAAGCTTTAAATTACTAGATTTATCCTTTGCACTGTTTTGGCTTCAACTTATTCGGCAAGCGGGGTATTTCCATGATAATATAGCTGAAGCAAGGTATTGAGTGAACCTACAAAATAGATAGTAACGCTTCTTTTGAACGATTGTGAGAGTAGAGAAACTGAGGCTTCAACATGAATAACTGTCGCGGCCATTCCATGGCGTAGAACACTATTCTAAAGAAACCAACCATGAAGGTCTCTCCTCGTGCTTGAAGAGTGAGGCCAGTGCAGTCAGATATCATCTCAGCTGGTACCTTCCAGGCTTTATTTTTGGTGAGTTATCAAAAAAAATCAAAATTATCGGAGATCGCAGCCGTGGAGGAAATATCGAAAAAATGGAAAATTTTGATTCCGCAAATTTTTCTCTTGCAGAAAATTTCTAAAAATATTTTTGCATAGCTACATATGTAGTACTGGTCTGTGGCTATAAGCTACAGAAATTTCTGGCTGAACACTCATATTCGTTAGAAGTTTACAACTTGCCAAGTATGACCTTGTCGAAAAAATTTCTTTTTACTTTCTGGCTTTCAAATTTGCTTGTTGGAGCTACAGTCACAAAAGAAAATGGCGCAAATAGAAAAGGACTTGCTGATCAAAGCAATTTTTACATCATTTCAAAATATACGATTCTAAAGGAGTTGTGACGCTTTAAAATGAGAAAATGCAAAACCTGCATTAATTTCCGGACAACCTAATACATAAAATTTTTTGCATTTTCATGCACACAGGAGGGCTTGAAAAAAATGGGTAAAACGGCAAAATCGATTTCGGTCAAATTTCGCAGCGTTTTTTAAATGTTATTGAAAATCGTGTCACCTCCCAGTATTGGGGCTACAGATGCTTAAACCTTGTTTTATACAATGTAACGAGCATTTATCAAACTCCAAGACGGGAGACTTTACGGAGCAAGCTGCTCCAACGCCAGACCGCAAAAATTGAATAGGCTATTCCAGCCGTTGTTGAGGAACTATTTGGCTGATCCATGCTTCTGTGGAAGGGCTGTACCATCTGGACGTGAAGCGACGGTTTGCGAATGTGACAGAAAAAGGACTACTTGACATGACTCAAATTCTACCACTACAGTAACTCAAACGATGCCTTTCTTCATTCAAAATTGGGCAGCGGTCTATCTTCTCAAACTTGATGAAAACCACGATTTCATGAACACGAGAACTTGTTCAGAGCTCGCAGAGCTTCATTGGAAACATGGAGGCGCTACTGCTACGAAAAGGTTTGCGCAAATTTTACAATTGATAATTCCTTTTGGGAAATAGAAATTTCCTGGGTGCAATAACTGCACAAACATTTCTCTGGCAATAGCACCTCCATGTATCCAATGAAGCTCTGCGAGCTCGGACCTGTGCTCGTCATTGTAATAGCAGGGTTTTCATTTGGATTTGAGACCTTTTAGACCGCAGAGTCCCATATTTGAACTGAAAGTTGCTCCGAATTTGAATTAAGATGGTGGCTTTTGAAGCATGCCAAGTGAATTTCTGTCATATGCTCAAACCGCCACTAAACTCTAAATGGTACAAATATCCCACAAGAGCACGGATCAGTCGATCACTTCTCGACAACCTGACGATTCTTCCAATTTTGCGGCTATCTGGCGTGCCAGCAGGCCCGCTCCGTAAATCTTCTCTTTGGAACATGATGTGTGGTTGCACTGCGTCTCTTGAAAGGTGCATCTGTGGTCTAGATACTGGAAGGTGATATGCCTTTCAAAGACGATTAGCACAAAGTGGCTGCAAGTTTTAACCTACCTCGATTTTTCGTTTTCCTCATTTTCCCCCAAACTTCCTTCTGTGTGCATAAAACTGCAAATTTCTTGATCTAGCGCTAAACAGTGTGATTCGCGCGTAATATCAAAATTTGAATTCGTTTTATGCAGCAGATTAATGAATAGCAAAAATTTCAATGGCTGCATACATTTTGGCACCGGTATATTCGAGTGATAGGACACACAGAGAAAAGATCTGTGGCTCTACTTTCAAAGTTTTGTAGAGTATACAACTATATATGTGAAAGCAACGCACCATCGTCTGCTGATTTTCGCCATAGTTTGCCAATTTTCGTTATTTTTCTTCTTAATCTCCTTTTGCATAGGGATAAAAGTATGCGTATAGGTGAATATTTGTGTGCGTCTATTACAGGTTGTCCAAGTAGGAGGTCTGTGGGATATTTCTAAGCTTACATTCATTTTTTTAGTTAACGTTTCCGGATTTTGGGGCACTGGTCGGTAGGACATGGTTTGCTCTTCATTATTTGTTGCTGTAGCAGAAGAGGTCATTACTTTTGCCGTTTTATAATCATAGCACATTCTATAATAAAATTCCGATTCTGATCAATAGTAGTATTTTCGTGATCAGCATAGAAGTCCTAATTTGAGCGAAAATGATGTTTCATAAAGGGCCCAAACTGAATAGCGCCGCATATTCGTGTCCCAAATTATGAACGGAAATATAGTAATGCCAGTCGCACTTGTTGGTATTATTGTGGTTGCGCCGCGAAATTTCTGAACAGTGGGAGATAACATACTCTCAGCTTGATACTTACTATTATTCATAGTTCAGAGGGTTTTTGTGCCTAACTAACATGTGTTGAATTTACGCACTCAACTAATTTGATGGTAGAGCCAAGGTCATTTTAATCAAATTTCTTTGTGGCACTGCTTGTTTGACTGAACCTCTATTCTTACAATTCCAGCTGTTTCATATGATTACTGGATATGGTATTGCTAGGGCAATGAACAGAGGTCATTATTTGCCATTCGAAGATGCGAGAGAACACGTTGAAAAGTACCTAATCCACCTTGAAGAGATTTTTCCTCGCTTGAAGCAAACCTATGTTCTAGCAAAGGTAAGCATGAGTGATTCACCATTTCGCTCTAAGTGACGGGGTTATAGGTTCCCTTGTTATTCAATTATTATGAAAGCAAAGTAAGTGAAAATTGTTTGTCAGAGAGGAACAAAGCAGAGAAATGTGCCATTTTCCCCAAATTGCTGCTCCTACCATGATCCGTCAAGGCTAGTAATCTCGTACCATATACATAACATTCGAAGGATTCACTGTTATTTACAGGCTCAACAACCTGACCGATCAGTTTTTGCTGCTGGACTTGATATACGGGCAAAATCCTGGGTATTTTGAACACTACCTCGCAGACGTACGCGATATTCTACAGTTTTCAGAAAAAGTAGTGCTAGATGGAAGTAGGACACTTCTCAATCTGACAAAGTCAGAATTCTTTCCTAATTTATTACATCTTCATCAAATCTGATAATCAAACAAGTATGATTAGCTATACCAGTTCCATGTGCATTCACGTGCGCTTGGGGGACTTCATAGAGAGGAAGCTAGCTACTGACATGAATGTAACAGTAAAAGCTGCTAATGCAATTGCTAGGAAAAAGGTAATATTGAAATCACACAATAACTTTCAAAATGTTTCTAATGCAGAATCTTTCACACTTCATGATTTTTGGAGACGACCAGCAGTTCATGAAGAAAATGTCAAAGAATATCATGAAGGAGGGTCGTTGGAGGAATGGTGTAAGTTCCTGTTCTTGGAAGTTGTTTTTAGATGGTGATGCCTGCACATTTCAGGCTGTCGCCATTTCTAACTATACGGAATCTACGGACCTCTATTTAGCATCTCAAATATGTAGCTCATTCTTGATTGCTGCGGTCACATCAACTTTTGGCTGGTGGCTCGCCTTTTTCGCGCAAGACCAGAATGCTGTGTACTACTTAAACGACACACGGCCGCACGCTGACAAAGTTCCTAGCAAAGAACTATTTTTGTAAGTCATTGCTAGCAACTTCTTATCAACACTGGTTTCGGAAGTGATAAAACGTACCGGCGAGAACCGGATGCAGCTTGCCGGGACAGCTTAGTGTTAAGCGTAAACGCATTTGGAATCCGGGAATCTTCTAATGGGAGGCTTTCTATCATAAACAACCGGTGAACGATCGTTTGCGCCATACAGGGTGTGCTACAGCAACACTGCATAGCTACCCTACGCGTCGGAAATACATCGGCCTTAAGACTGTCGAAATAGAGACTTCTTCCCTTACAAGGTCAAGCCTCGTCGTCATATGCGTCGTACATACAAACAATAAATGAGCCAGACATAGCTCGAGGAACGAGTGAACTGAAACCCGAATCCAGACGTGTTGCATTCTTATGGTGATTGGGTTCTGACAATGAGAGTTTGTTCGCTTAAAAGCGCCCAGCCAAAATTTGGCTTCCCGCGTTTTTGTCATTCTGGGCCTTTCCGTGGCCCTGATTACAGTCATAAAGTTCAAATTGCCCGAAGCCCTCCTTCCTCCCCGATTCCCGGAGCTGTTTTAAAAGCACATACGAGTTTCGGATTGTTTCGGCTTCCCAGCAGGAGCAAGTTGCGCTCCATTATCGATCGATCTCCTGCAGCGGCGAAAAACTGTGCACCACTTGCGTGAGCACTCGTCCTCATGAGGAGGTATGCTACTTGAGAGACGGTATATGATGCGTACCACCAGGAGACACAAGCCACATCAGAGGATCGAACCAACACAGATCGGATACTCCTGGGCCCGCTTGACAACTATATGCTAATCATGGTGATGTGGACTTTGAGTGGACGCTTCCTCTTATAATACTCAGATACCCCGCCGACTGTTAAAGTACTTCGACTCGGGGGACATTTAAAAAGCGCGATTTCTGCAGAGTTCACCAGTTTGATAAGCAACATATAGAGCTGTCTTTCAAGAATACCAGAAAATGCTCTAACTTACTTAGTATCTTCTGTCAATTGCTAAGTTTTATGGTGTTTGGTGGAAAAGTGGAAAGATTGATTCACGAAAACGCTATTGATCGCATTTTCGCGGCATTCTTGACTCCCAACTCTTGTGTTTCAAATCTATTTCACATCAAGATTGAGCAACTTATCGGACCATTACAGATATCTTCAACAATTCGAATTTTTCTTAGAACGACATAAAATGCTAAAAAAGCGCTAATTGGTGTCCATCTGGCAAAATCGCTTCTCTTCAAGAACGCCTGACATACATTTCTTGAACTCGCGATGATGTCGTTTGAAATTGAAGATTTGGCGCGCAGGAATGGTTTATTGAACAAAAAACATAATGCTTTTTTTCCGCTCTCCATTTCTTATTCTTCATTCCATATGACGAATTACTCTGTTATATGTGCTAACCCTGTATGCGCTTGAGTTTCTGAACATGTGAGAAAGTCCTTGCATTCATCTTTTGTCGCGTGAGGGTCGACTTCGTATTTTCAAAGTTTACAGAGAGTTTAGATTTTGCTCCAATAGATAGCTGCAAATTGTGAAAGAGATCGTTGGGAGTCTGGAGTTGTTTTGGATCATTTCGACTCTCACTAGGCTTCAACAGAAGAATACCTAATGAATGATTTTTTGACGTATATGAAAAATGTTATAGACGGGTACACGCGTTGGAGAAATGGAGGAAAACTGCTTGCTTGTCATTTTTGGCAGATCATACGACTTTACTCACTTTGTGCTGGACCTTCTATAATTTTACCATTTTCTAAAACTTTTGTCGTGCGGTTTTCTGTTATCTGTGGAGAATCTGGACATAAATTTGCGAACAAAAACTTCTTTTCAGGAAATCATGGCAAGTGTACCCAGGATAACCAGCTGCTTCCTGATATGTTCTGCAGTGTCCTATGTGGAATTAGTATATGTTCATCTTAGTTGAGGTTCACGTTCACCTCAAACCTTTTGTCTTTCCATCTCTGTTCTCTTAGTCAACATAAAATAGAATCATTGTAAATGTTCGTGATCGTCAACGATTGTAAATAGTGAGCAACAGTGAAGATTGTTGCCTGCGATATAAGTATCATTGACATAACATAAGGTAAACTCTTAGATGACAGCTTCTGACATATGTGAATGAAACTTTTCTTCTTGTTAAGAGAATTCTTGCTATTCCCTTTTGATCGGAAAATTTGAAGAGGATTTATAACAATGGCAGATGACATTACATATGTCGCACAATGCTCAGGCGATCTTGAATGGCTCACCCTTTTATGTGCAAAGAACGCTGTACGATCCGAGGAAGATCTCAAAGTTGAAACTTGGGACAAACTCAAAACTCCAGAAACTTCACAATGCAGAAGTTGAAAAGGATCACTTTTACCTTGACGCAATCTTGTGCGAACGTTCTGTGAGAAGTATTCATCATTTCTCGCAGGTTAAGAGTGATTACTGAGTATAAGCAGCGGAGATATAAAGACCACACATCATCTTCATTTTCAATGATTTTCGAAGTCGTAAAGTTTGCATATTTACCGTAACACTCTCGAGCCGCAGTGAAATGCTAATAGTAAACTCATATGACATCGTTGTATTTATGCTCTTATTTTTGGTTGAAAGGTATGAAAAGTGTCTCAGCACCACTCCCCTTCCGACAAGAATAGTGTGGACACTCGTTCACGCCTGTCAACTAAAAAAAGTCAAGGCGATGAGCCTCCCGAACAAATCGAATGGGCAATGCAATGCTCTTAGGTGACAAAAATGGACGTTGCCTCTGACTTGTCAACAGGGAAAATTCATTGGAGGCTCAAAAATCAAGATGATGACAACCCAATGTTTAAGAGCTAAAATGTTTTCCAGTGCCCGCTGTGTAAGAGCAGTCTATTAGAGATAATCAAAAACTGTAGAACGAGTGATTTGGCGGATGATGATGATTATAATGAACTTTGCAAGATGTAAACAAGTACAGGCTAAAATCAGTGGAGTTCAAGAAGGCAACATAAAACTCGGTGAGTAAAGTAAGTTGTTCAATAGTCGTATTCTTAAAACACAATAAACTTTCTATGCAATCAACTATTAGATGTCGATATTTGGAGAGTCAAATTTTTTGTCAAGTTTTTTTTCCGCATTACTTTATGTTCAGTTCCTATCATCGTATTCTGCTTGAACCACACATTTTATGGTTCACTTACTTACACATCATGTACATCTCCAGCGGTCTCTCATACATGACATGGTATGCTTTTCATATCTTCATTCGTGAGGTTTCAAATCATTTGAAATTTCCTAATATATTAATATTTTTATATTGACGCTCTAATATCTACATATCATGGTAGCGATGTAAGAGGAGGCTGAAAGAGGCTGCTCAGTTGCCCACCAAACGATAGATAACACGCATAGATTAGCCCATTCGCTTGGTGCTCTCCTCTTTAGATTCGCTTGCAAGTGATAAGCTCGAGGCTCTCACACCATGATAGACAGCAAGTTGTTTGACTTCAAATGATTATCCTCATCCATAGTAGTGATGTGAGAGGAAATTGAAAGAGGTTGCCCGCCTGAGCACGCATGGATTCGCCCATTCGCTTTGGTGTTTTCCTCTGCAGATTCGCTTTGTAAATGATGAGTTCAAGACTTACGCACCATGGCTCTGGAAGAGCAGAAGTTTATCCGTTTTTTTACAAATGTACCTATACCCTGAAAAGGTGCCATATTTAACTCAAAGTGTTCCCTAAGACTCATAGCACAAGACCACTGGCGATGCATACGATTTTATCTTGACATTGTGTTATATAATGTTTTCTTTTTTCAGAACCATGTTCCTTTGGCGCATCAATGAATGCATTCAATAAATAAATAAATAAATAAATAAATAAATTATTAGGTTGGCTCGAAAGTTCTGGGACATTTTCGAACTAGATCTGCTATTTCTCAAAACCTAGTGCATATACATCCGAAAGAGGTACCATTTAATAGAGCAAAGCAAGCTCTACAAGATAGTGCGCAGGAGTTCGCACCAGCTTCGACCCACCGTAAGTTTGCACCCAAAATCTGAGTTTTACTGAAATTCATAAAATCGCGTAAAAATCATATCTTTGTTCGAACAAATCCTATGGATCTCCAACTTGCTCACAAGAATTGCACACCACATCAGACACTCATTTGGTGCGTTCCTGGATTTTTTCCTCATATAGAAATCGAGAAAACGAAAATTTTCAAGTTTTTACAAAAAAGAAGCTGTGCTGTTTCCACCCATTTAATTGAGTAGTACAAGCCCTTAAAAGTATAACCGTAAATTTTCAGCTTTCCTTAAGCCCTAGTTGTCGAAAAATATTAATTTTAGCATGGAACACCTGAGCTCATTTCGATAATTTTCGGGGACTAGGGCCAGTAGAAAGCTGGAAATTCAAGGTTATACTTCTTTAGGCTTGTACTACTCAATTAAATGGGTGGAAATAGCACAGATTCGTTTTTGTAAAAACTTGAAAATTTTCGTTTTCTCGATTTCTATATGAGGAAAAAAATCCAGGAACGCTGCAAATGAGTGTCTGATGTGGTGTGCAATTTTTATGAGCAAGTTGGAGATCCGCAGGATTTGTTTAAACAAAGATATGAATTTTTTGCGTTTTTTTTTTGAATTTCAGTACAACTTAGAATTTGGGTGCACACTTATGGTGGGTCGAAGTCTGTGCGAACTTTTGCATACCATCTTGTTAGAGCTTGCTTTGTTCTATTGAATGGTACCTCCTTCGGATGTACATGCTTTAGGTTTCGAGACATAGCAGATCTTAGAAAATGTCCCAGAACTCTCGAGCCAATCTAATATATTGAACACCATGTTCTTTCTAAGCGTGTAAAAGTGTGTAACTTTAATCGAAAGGCATGAAAGCCACTCAAGAGCGAGAGATGGAAAAGACATGAGCTTGGTGAGGGAGACTGAACATTTCTTTGTAATGTAAAACTGAAAATTCCTTTACATTATTATAAGAAAGCTGAGAGAATTTCTGCCTTATACCAATTTTAGTGGTTATCGAAGCAAAACAGCTTTCTATAGCAGGCTGTTCCCCGAAAAGCATAAAGGTCTGTATAAAGTCAGAGTTTTAGTAGAATGCGTTGGGGCATTAGTTACTGGACGTATCGTCGATTCGTTGACTGCACGGATTGCTTAAACGTTGCGGACCACGCAGAGCGGCTGAACTGTTGCGAAGTCGCGACTTCTATAATGGCGAACTTGTAGTGGAGCAGGCATTTTATCTCGCGAGCGTGCTCCGCACTGATGTTCAATCCGTGCGGTCAGCGAATCGACCATACTTAAAAGATTATACTTACTTGATATCCATTTTTTTATTTTCCCAACATCATTCACATGTATGTACAGCAAGCGAAGTTTTGGAGCCGTACCTCTCTAGAAATAAGGCCTCAAAGTGAAGGTTGTTTGAATACTTGCCGCTCTTAGAAGGTGAAGGTTGTTTATGGGAAATCAGTGAAGAAAATAAGTTATTAAGAGCAAGAGAAACCCATAGAAAACCGGATGAAAACGCTGCAATGAGTTTGAAATCTTTCATTTGGCGGCATTTTGAATTTAGATTCAGGACCAGGCAATCCACAACACGGCAAAACGAGGAAGGGCTAATTTTTTTCTTTGTTTATTTCAAAAACAAGCATGTTTCATCCACGCATTGCCGTTTCTGTTTCCTCCGGTGTTGTTTGGATTGTTGCATTTACTGTTCTGAGCAATAGCCGCACAATTTGGAAAAAATTGCTACGAAAACACTAAAAGAGAAAAGGGAAAGAAAAACAAACTTTTCACGATTTTCCACAAAGAATACGCCATAGTTGAAAAAGTAAGCTCTGCGACGTTGTCTAAGTTATAAAGAGAAACAAGACTTATCAAAAGCACGAAAAAACGCGTGAAAAGAACTAAACTGAAGAAAAAAACAAGAGACTTTCAAAGACACGGTTTTCACCAGATCCTCATCCATATAAATGAGGCCTTAGGACGTTATCAGCGTGAAGATAGGGATCAAGAGCTTCAAAATTATATAGAGTTTGTTAGAATTAGATTGAAGACAACAAAGAAAAGGATGCCGGAGCAAAGTGCCCCGTGTCCCGCGTTTGGGATAGCGAAGTAGCGCGCAACGCGCGGAGACGCAGACAAGCAGAGGAGAGGTACCAGAGCCGACGGGCATTTGGCCCTGCTCGGAGTCTTATCGAAACCCTGCAACATTATATATCGTTCTATTCGTTATGACGTGACTAGGACCACTGACAACGTCGCAAGCGTTGAAAATCACTCATCAACGAAAAAAAACCAGCATTTTCGTGCGCGACTCCCTGCAAGATTTGAGCGCAGTTTACTGATTCGTTGGACTCCAACAGCTTTCGTGAAATTCTGAAACTTGATCATCTAAAAAGGTCATAATAGAAAGGCTTTCTTGAATTCTGGTGAAAATCTTTATAAAAGCCTTTTAGTATAGAAAAGGCTATAAAAGCGCACAGTTTTTTGATTTTGCTTTGATACTGTAGGGATATCATTCCCTGTACTTGCTTCATTCTATTTATTTCGATTCATTGGGATGCAAAAATAATGGCCGTTTTGCTAATTCTCCCTTCAACGTGCTATGATGACCTTTCGAAAAGCCGAATGCGGTAGAAACCATCAAAAACAGCAAATTTTTTCCAGTAAAGAGTGCATTTACCTGCAATAATATCACAAAGGTGTAGAAAAATATGGATTGTAAAACAAAAAGAGCTTTTTTTTCTGAAACCTGCCTTTGACGAGTCATGACTTCCTTCAAACTTTGTTAGTATGAATGATAAGTGACCTATCTTGCTAGTAGTACAAAATGCGATATAAAGGGTTTGGAGAGAGGAAATA